TGGTACCGTACGTGTCACCGGTACTTATGCCGGCTCCCCGTACGGTACGGGGGGGGAGTCTCGACCAGTTCTCTGCTGCTGTACTCGTACTCAGTGTGACTTGCCGTTTGGGCATTCGGAATCCAAGACTTCGACTTTGTGCCTTGCCACTGTGTCTGCGTCCGACCCTCAGTCCGAGTCCATCATGTCGAGTGAGTGAGTGTGTGTGTGTGCTCTCACTCTCTCCCTCTCTCTCCCGCTCGATCGGCTCACCCTCAGCCTCACGCTCGACGCTCGTTACACAGTCGTTTGCCTCGACCTTGATGCGAGAACCACGAATACCCTTGATCCAGTGGGTGAAGGATCCTATAGGGATCGTGCAGCTTATAGTCTGACATAAAATCTGATAAACACAACACATCCTGTGTGTTTCTCCCTGCACCCCTCTCTTCGTCTAACGACTGATTCCAATCGCCCACTATGATCAGGTTATCGACATCAGGTAGGTTGAAAGGAGGATCCTGTACGAATAGTCTACGCTCTCTACTACGGACCGGAGCATAAACGGTGGCAATGACCCAATCCTCTTGCCCCAGACCCAGCTTCACCCAAGCCCATCTCCCCCATAAGTCAGCGTAGTGATCAATTATCTCTGCCTCAAAGTCTCTGTGGATCAGAATTGCTACGCCTCCGAAAGACCCTTTCACTGGCGACCAAACCTGAGGCCCGTCCCACCAGCTGCCCTGGCTTCTGATCTTTTCCTCTGATAATTTAGTCTCCCGTAGGCACATTATTGACACCCGCTTCTCGTGCAACCACTTTTTCAACCTCGCCTTCTTGTTCCTACCCCCTGTATCTCCTAGGCCGCACACATTCCGTGATGCCACTGTCAAATTAACCATCTCTCCTTAATCCTCCGCTCGATTGGATGTGAGGGGCTTGCGCGTTACTCCGACTTACCTCTCTTCCCAGATCTGCAACTCCCCATGGTTGAGTGAGCGCTGCCTTCACAAATTGTGAGTCCAGCCTCTTGTCCTTGTGGAGCCGGATCTTCAATTCCGCCAAACACTCTGCTGACAGTCGCGCTGTAAGCATTATAATCTTTCCCAGCTCTGATTTCCTTCCTTCCGCAAAACAAACTAACGGCACCAGCCTCAAACCCCTCCTTTCCAAGTTCGTTACGTCGTCCGTGGTCAATCTTGCATCTACTAGTGGGACAACGAGTTTGAATCTGCTGCCCCCAACCTCCGTGATTATTCTTGCCAGAGGACAGTCTTCAATTACTCGAGTGGCGAAGAGGTTCAAATATAAGTGATCCACCACTTGAGCGATCACCTGAGGAGTTGGCATGTCTGATACCTGTTGTGACGGGATCGTGAGCGCACCCATGCCTGTTTGCCATGTGATCACCCAGAAGGCATTTCGAACCGCCGTACAAACCAACGGAATCACCAATTGCTCAATCCCTGAGCCTTGCCCCCTGCTCAAGGAAGCCATCCTCCTGTCTCTCGTCGTTTTTTGACCTGGAGTTCCTGAGGTGGCTAGGTGGTCTGAAACTTGCGTCATGGATATATATATATATATATATATATATATATTCAGCCTCCTGATGAGTCGGTGAAACTCCGACGAAACAGTTTGTCACAGCCCCTCGTTTGTTGTCCTCTTCTCCCTCTCTGCCTACGGTTTACCGGGCAGTTCTATTTGACGATATATATATATATATACCAGATGCTTCGGTGTGGAGTTCCTTTACCAAGGACATACTTAACCTACGTTGCTTGCCCGCATGCTTCGCCCTCTGCTGGGTGTCCGCCGACACCCTTGATGTTGACGCCTCTGGCCCTACCGCTCCTTCTTCCACTAGGTGGGCATCGCCCATACCTAGTCCCTCCCTTCTTTCCGTCTGCGTGGTCCTTGTTTCCTGTCTAGTTGTGCCACCTTCCTCCACCCTTTCTGGCACCCCGCCTGGCTGACTTACTCCTGGAATGCTCCCTCCCGGCTGATTGCCCTGGAAGGCCGACGGTATGCCATAAGGTTGAAACCCTTCAGTCTGAGAGCCTCCGCCTCCCAGAGGATGAAGTAAGTTCTGATGTAAACCCGGCTGCGCCCAATTAAAACCCTGCATCAGAGGTCTCCCTTGTATCGCAGCTCCCTGTAGTGCTGCCATCAGCTGCGACCAATCTTGCATAGACGGACTGGCGTTAATCAAGCCCCCCGGCGAGAAGACTGGGTTCACAGTTGCGCTCGCAAAGCCAGCGGGAGCCGAATTCCCAGCCGGCGCTTGACGAGATGGTTGCGGTCTTAGCGGACCCTGATAGTGCGATCTCCTTCTCTCCTGCTGCCCTGTACTGGACTGCGCCTGAGAGGGCTGTTGGTTTGCCACGTTCGCGTCCCCCATGATTCCTCTATTATGCGAACCCCCATTCCTCCTGCAATCCGCTTCCGTGTGAAAAAATTGCTTACAAACTCTGCACCTCATCGTGGTGGCACACACCAATCGAATTTCCAACCTATCCCCTTTTGAGGTGACGATCCACAGCTTGTCCTTCATGTTGTCCTTCGCCACCGAGTCCAGTTCAAACTTCGCGTTGACTAGGGCTGGCCGTTCTGGATCCGCGTCCGACGGGTAAGCCCTCTCAATCTTCCCGATCGCCCGCTCTATCTGCGCATAAATAAATGGCATATCATCCAGGGGCACCTGGACCGCAACTACCCAAAAGACTCTATCATTCTCTGGTTTCTCAGATCTCTAAATTCGGCCCTCATCATCCAGGGCTTGAATTGGATCTTGTAGCACGTATTAGTTTGCCTAGTAGGAATTTCCACGCCTCCCTCACTAATCATAAAATCCGCCACTTTTTAGAGTTCGCCACATAAGACAAAGCGTTCGGACCCTCAATTTTGACTCGACCCCTCCGGGTTTCACCTGGGAAACGATCTCTTCCCAAAATCCACCCATCCTCAAAGGCGCGGATGGTGTCGTCCTTTACTTTCCTCGAGAGGAACCTTGCATTCTCCTTGAAGATTACCGACACTGTCCGCTCCTTCAACCACTTGATTTTGATCTCATCCAATGAGGTGTTGAGGAGTGAATTGCAACTCTCGGCCTTGAACTTCCATTTCCCCGGGATCCAGATCCGTCGGGTAAACTCCATCATCGAAGCAGAGCGTCAGCAGCGATCTAATGCGTTCTTCCTCCCCCCAGTAGTTCATTGGCTCTGCAGGGCCAGGTGGGGGCGATCTTGCACTCGCCCTGTTACTCCTTTCGTTCCTCCTATCGCCCTCGGTTTCCACCTCCATCACGAAGTTCCCACACTCTATCACTTCTGACTGTCTTGGTCTAATTATGACCTAAGCTTCTCCTTCGCCACTGACATAAAGCTTCCTCCACGTGTCCCTTTAATAACTCTGTTGTTTGAACCGGAGCAGCAGTCGTCCGAACTCGGCTGTCAGGCTATAAGCTAACCTTCCATAGCCGCTTAACCCCACCGGGGTAAGAGTCGGTAACCCCGAGGCGCTATCTCGGCGGTACCACCTTGGTCGACCGTAGGACGAAAACTCGCGTCACGACTTGGCGCCCGATACCGCTGGGCAGAGCGCTTGCACCGGCTGCAGCGTTCCGCTCAATCCCGTCACGAAGCAGGCAAATCGTATGCCTTTAAGTAGTGGTAGGTAGGTAGTGTGAGGAAAAATTGAGAGAAGAGTATAGTCTTTAAAAAAAAAAAAAAAAAAAAAAAAAGAAAGCCGTTCTGAGACTTGTGATTGGTCCTGGCCTGTACGGTATTTTTTATTTTTATTTTTTTCCTTTCGTTTTTTCAGAGGCTGCGCCGCACTCTGCTGCAGTGCAATACAGAGGCAACACTGGAGGGGTCGAGAAAGCAAGTTTACTCGTACGACCCCTCCGTGGCCCAGAAAAATTAAGTTAATATCGTGTGGTCCGATGGACCACGGATATTAAACTGATCAGAATACAACGTACGGTCATTATAGCTGAATTTGGCAAGCGATCACCGCGCCTCGCCGTGCATGCAGGAAGAGGACGACGGCGGGCCGGAAGACTTCCAACTGCCTGTGATAGCATAGAAGCACGCGAAGCGCCGGTGGTCCTGGTGGAGGTAGGGGACACACACACACACACACACACACACACACACACACACACACAGAGAGAGAGAGAGAGAGAGAGAGAGAGACCCCAAGACACAGAGAGAGAGAGAGAGAG